GGAGGAATCCTGAGTTTACTAAATCCTGTTCCCCAATTCCTCAGGGCCTTCTCCACTCATGCAGACAGACTCATTTCTCTCTGAAGTGTACTTTCACTTTGAGTGAATGACCAATGTGCTTGCATCCTTGAGAGGTGAAGACTGAAGGTGAATTTGATTATTCAGATTCCCAAAGAGGGGGATCAGGATATACATGATACTATGAGTCAGAACTAACTCATCATTTCTTAGCAACAACAGTAAAGGAGTAACACTTCTGAATTCTTTTTATGAAGCACGTGCAACAGTGCAACACTTGCTGAAAAAAAAATTAAAAATTAAAACAGTTCAAATTTATTTTTTAATTTTAACTAAGAATACACCATAACTAAATGAGCTTTATTCCACAAATTCAAAGATGGATTAATACTAGAAAAATAATTCATTATATTTAATCCTAAAATCGTATCTACTGATATTAAAAAAGAGCACCTGGGAAAAAATTACTAGTATAAAAAAGAAAATACAAGTCCATAAAATACAAATCAAGGGATAATTTCAAGCTCAATACTAGCATTGCACTTCATACAGAGATGTTCTTTCTGAAGCCCAAAACAAGAAGCAAGAAAAATTATACACATTACAAAAATATTACATAACACTGAATTGCAGGTATTAGCCAATGCAATTACATAATCATTAGTCAAAAGAATGAAGTGTTGTGATTGATGAGGTCTGTGTCATGTGGTCACTTCTGTGAGTGACAGTGAGAAAAAGCCAATAGTCTTACTCCAAACAAATGGAATGATTTTAAGTAAGATAGTAGGAGATAAAAGAAAGGACAGGCACAGCTAAAGTGATAATCACCTGGATTATCCACCAATCATTCTCAACTTCCTCCTCTATAATTCAGTAGATCAGAAATACTTGGGCTGTGGCTTACCACTTTGAGAAGATACTTCAATTTTGATCTTGGACAAGGAAATTAAGATTGCTTTATTTCCAGTGTCCTTAAACTATAGCGTATTAGCTAAATCTGACCTGCCACCTGTGTTTGTGCTGCACATGAGCTAAGAATAATTTATACATTTTTATATACATTTTTTTTAGTGGTTGCAAAAAAAAAAGAAAGAAAACTAGTATTATGTGACATGTAAAAATTATATGAAACTCATATTTCAAGGTTCATAAATAAAGTTTGGAGTCCTGATGTGGCACTAACTATAACATAAGCATAATAATAATAATAATAAACTAGGAATGTTGATAGATTATATAGTGTGTTGGCTTTATAACATAAGCACTGTACTGAAAGGCTGGTTTGAACCATAAGGTCGGAAGTTCAAATTCACCAGCTTCTCCTCTGAAACCATCTACAAGGTTGCCATGAGTCAGAACTAATTCAACGGCACTTAACAACAATAACAAATAAAGTTTATTTAAAGCACAGCCACAATAATTCTTTTGTATACTGTCTGTGACTGCTTCCCCCGAAAGTCAAGAGGACTTGAAACATTTACTTATGAAGATCAAAGAGCACAACCTTCGATATGGATTACATCTCAATGTCAAGAAAACAAAAATCCTCACCACTGGACCAATAAACAACATTCTTATCAATGGAGAAAAGATCGAAGTTGTCAAGGACTTCATTCTTCTTGGATCAACTATCAATACTCGTGGAAGCAGCAGTCAAGAGATCAGAAGACATATTGAATTGGGCAAATCTGCTACACAGGAACTTTTTAAAGTATTGAAGAGCAGAGATGTCAGCTTGAGGACTAAGGTGCGCTTGACCCAAGCCATGGTATTTTCAGTAACCTCATATGGATATGAAAGCTGGACAGTGAATAAGGCAGACCGTAGAAGAATTGATGCCTTTGAGTTGTGGTGTTGGAGGAGAATACTGAAGGTGCCATGGACTGCCAAAAGAACCAATAGATCTGTTTTGGAAGAAGTGCAGCCAGAGTGCTCCTTGGAGGTCAAGATGGCTAAGCTTCGTGTCTCATACTTTGGACACATTGTTCGGAGGAAACAGTCGCTGGAGAGGGATGTCATGCTGGGTAAGGTGGAGGGTCAGAGAAAAAGAGGAAGACCCCTAACGAGATGGATTGGCCAGGTGGCATTTCTACTCAACTGTGGCAGCGGTAGTGAGGTTCACCCAGGATCAGACATTGTTTTGCTCTGCTGTGCATGGGGTCGCTATGAGTTGGTTCCGACTCCATGGCACCTGACAACAACAACAATTGATGGTCTGTTCCACAGTCTGCTCCTGGCCTTGTTTTGACTGATGATATGGTGCTTTTCCATTGTCTCTTTCCTCAGATGTAGTCAATTTGATTTCTGTGCATTCCGTCTGGTGAGGTCTATGTGTATAGTCGTCTCTTACGCTGTCTAAGGAAGGTATTTGAAATGAACAAATCATTGGTTTTGCAGAAGTCTATCATGCATTCTCCAGCCTCATTTCTATCACCAAGGCCATATTTTCCTATTACTAATCCTTCCTCTTTGCTCCCAACCTTTGCATTCCAATCACCAGTAATGATCAATACGTCTTGATTGCATGTTTGATTGATTTCAGATTGGAGAAGTTGGTAGAATTCTTCTGTTTCATTCTCATTGGCTTTAGTGGTTGGTGCATAAATTTGAATAATAGTGGTATTAACTGGGCTTCCCTGTAGGCACATGGATATTATCCTATTACAGACAGCATTGTACCTCATGACTGATCTGGATATGGTCTTTCTGATAATGAATACACCACTACTCCTCTTCAATTTGTCATTCCTGGCATAGTAAACCATGTGGTTGTCAGGTTCAAAATGTCCAATACCAGTCCATTTCAGCTTACTAGTGCCTAAGATGCCAATGTTTATGCATTCCATTTCATTTTTGACAACTTCCAATTTTCCCAGATTCATACTTCATATATTCCATGTTCCAGTTTTCAATGGATGTTTATAGCTGTTTCTCTTCATTTTGAGTTGTGCCCCATCAACAAAAGAAGGTCCCATGGGTTTTTCTCCTGTGGGCTTTACCACATTCACATCATCATGGTCAACTCTACTTTGAGGAGGCATCTCTTTTCCCCAGTCGCATTTTGAGTGCCTTCCAACCTGAGGGACTCATTTTCCGGCACTATATCTGACAGTGTTTCTCTGCTATTCATAACAGATTAGCCATTAGAGAGATGCAAATCAAAACAACAATGAGATAATGTCTCACACCAGCAATAACAGTGAAGTTTAAAAAAGCAGATGACAATAAATGCTGGCAAGGATATGGATAGACTGGGACCCTCCTACATTGTTGGTGGTACTCCAGACTCATGGAACTAGAAAGGTTGTGTGCTGGTGGCCAGGAGACTGGCTTGCAGAATGTGCCTTTGGTTGTTTAAATACTTATATGTTCCTGAGTGCTTTTGTGTACATCAAAACAAAACAAAACAAAAAAATAGAGGGAATAGAAGCAAACACTATTACCTGATGATGCATGGAGGAGATTACAATTATTGTAATGAAACAAAACACAATAGGAGGAGTGCAAAACTGATGTTCTCCCATGTAAACTATCACTCAATTCACAATAAAAACCTTTATAAAAAAGTGCCTTAGAGTTTGTTGTGATTCACAGCGACCCTGTATAGGGTTTCTGACACTGTATATCTCTGCAGGAGAACTAAGCCTTATCTCCTGAGGAGCAGCAGATCGTCCTGACTCACCGACCTTGTGGTTAGAAGTTCAGTGCTTATCCTACAGAGCCATGGCACTCATATGATCTTCCTTATTGCCTGAAAATCATGTATATTCTTAATCTAGCTCTAGTTTTTTAATAAGCATGAAGCAACCATGAGTCATGGTTTTAATTATGAGAAAAATAAGCACATTTTAATTATGAGAAAGCTAAGTATATTTAGGGAGCATGATGGCTCCATATGATAAGCACTGGTCTGAAGTCAAACTCACCAGGCACTCCATGTAAGAAAGATGAGGATTTCTGCTTCCATGAAGATTGAAATGATTCTAAAGCCTTAGAAACCCTGTACAAGTTCCCTATGAGTTGGAACAGAATCCATCATAGTTAACAAGCATATTTAGTTTGAGTTTAAAGAAATAAACCAAATACCACACCCACCTAATTATTTGCATATTTGTTTTATAGAATGCAGGAGTCTGTGGTTCATTGTAAGTAACTTTTTCCCCCCTTGACAATTGCTGTAATGGGAACTAGAATATTTGGGGAGAAGTAAATCTCTAAGTTTATTTCTACGAATATAGGACCTTCAATATGAATTACACCTCAACATAAAGAAAACAAAAATCCTCACAATTGGATGAATAAGCAACATCATAAGTAGAGAAAAATTTAAAGTTGCCAAGGGTTTCATTTTACTTATAATCAATGCTCATGGAAGCAGAAATTAAGAAACCAAAATGCACTGGGCAAATCTGAAGTTTTAAAGGCAATGATGTCACTTTGAGGACTAAGGTGCTTCTCACCCAAGCCATGGTATTTTCAATCCTCTCATAGGCAAAAGCTGGACAATAAATAAGGAAAACTGAAGAACAATTGATACATTTGAATTGTTTTATTCTGCTTTTGAAAAATATTGAATATGCCATGAACTGCCAGAAAAATGAACAAATTTGTCTTAGAAGTACAGCCAGAATGCTCATTAAAAGCAAGGATGACAAGACTTCATCTCATGTTGGACATGTTGTCAGGAAGGACCAGGCCCTGAAGGACATCATGCTTGACAAAGTAGAGGGTCAGCAAAAAAGAGGAAGACCCTCATTGAGATAAATTGACCCAGAGGATAGCAATGGGCTGAAACATAATAATTGTGGGGATACTATCAAAAACATTCCTTCATAAAAGTCAAGTGAAGGTGCTGGTAAAGAAATTTCCTTGTCTGTGAGAGAGCTTCAAAGAGTTCACAGAAAAATCCCATTATCTTTGAATTCAAAATTTCCACAAACTTTCTGAAGCCACCTCATATTTCCAAGGAATATGTACTTTGCTCAGAGTTGGCTGGTTGACACTGGCATGAGGTGCTTCCTGAGAAACTTCTGGATCTCCTTCCAAGAATGTTCCTGTGCAGCTGCATGCGGGATCACCTCTCCTCCCCATAGCATTGGCATGTTGGAGACCCACGAGCCACAGCATAGTGGAGCATAGGAAGGCTCTATGAGGTGGCCTGCCCCAGGGTAAGACAGCAAGGTCCAGTTGTTCTTGCCCTTCCTCTTCAGCTGATCTATGGCACACTGTGCAAATACTTTGCTGTTTAGATTCTTATCTTCCTCTCCCACAATGAAGAGGAAATGTCCGCGGGCCTTTTCAATGGGAAGGAGAAAAGACTTATTGGCCTCATCTCGAGGATCCCCAAAGTAGTGATTAAACGCTATTAACCCTAATGCATTCGTAGATAGTAATTGTGAATTGCAGGGCATTGACTGAAATATCTGACCACGATATACATGCGGATTTTGAAAAATAAAATTGGGCCCATTAATAAGTACAACAGCAGTGACTTGTTTTAAGTGAATAGCCATGGACAGTCCAATCTCAGCTCCTTTGCATACGGAAACCACCCCAATGCCTGGGCCGAGGACCTGAAAAATAATAGAAACGAGATGTTGATTCTATCCTTCATTTAGCAAAACCCCACAGTCTTAGACAACCAAAGAACTCCAATGGCCAATGGGAGCAAACAACTATTAATTCTTCCAACATGTTCAGCTCTACCGTTCTGAAATATATAATTCATATTCAAAGGAAATACTTTCTCAAAAGTCTCTCAGACCTTACTAACTGAATACTATGCACTAGGCATTGTATTAGATGCTGAGTTTAAAATGCCCTAAATAAACACTAATAAAATAAGAAATATAGATATGTTACTATTGTGACTAATACGAGACAGAGCATAATTGATTGGTATACTTTGTTGCACCAGTTCTGAACTCCTTAGAAGTTCAGAGAAAAGGGCATCATGGAGAGGTAAAAAATGAGGGAGAAGGTGAAATGAATAGGATTGAAAAACAACACAAAACAAAACAGCCTTTCTCAATTCTGGCTCACAGTGACCCTGTAGGACAAAGTACAACTGTCCCCGAGGCTTTCCAACGCTGTACTTCTTTACAGAAATACACTGCCACATCAGTCTCCCTTTGACAGGGTTGAACCACAGACCTTTTAGTTAGCAGCTGAGTGCTTATCTACTGTGCCACCAGGGCTCCCAATTGGTAGGAAAGTCAAATCCACCGCCATTGAGTCACTTCTGACCAATAGGGACTCTATGTAAGGTTTCTTTCTCCCACAGAGTAGCTGGTGGGTTTGAACTGCTTACCTCTGCTGTTAACAAACCACCACAGCTCCACCATGGCTCCATGATTAGTAGGACAGAGTGTTGGAACTGTAGATGATTATAGAATTGCTTTGGTTTGAAACAGGATACTAAGAAAAGTGTTTCACAAAGAGGGAGGCTTCATAAAGAAAGGGGCTTGACTTAGCTTTCCCTCTCATTATTAGTCACTAAACAAGTCTTTGTATACCATCCATCCTATGCCAGGCACTAGTGAAATAGGAGAGGAAGAAGAAGAAGATGAAGAAGAAGAAGAAAACAGATTCTAAATATTTTATAAATTCTATGATATTGGAATGCATGATTTTATCAATTATACTTAGCTGACAGAAATGCAAGAAATCCTTAGCATAAGAAAAAACAAACAAAACAGATTGAGTGAGCTATATACACTCTCTATTTTCTGCCCCATATACAAGGGGGACTCAAAATCTTCATGGAAAAATTCCATTATTTTTCAATTTCATTATTCCATGAATTTTTGAATCAATAAAATAGATGGGTTGAATCAACAAAAAGTCCTTCAAAAGAAAACAATAGGGCTGGTGAAGATGTGAAGAAATTAGAACCCTCATTCTTTGCTGGTGAAGTTGTAAAATAGCACAGTCACTATGGAAAACAGTTCAGTGATTTCTTAAAAAGTTAAACATAAATTATATATGATGCAGAAATTCCACTCCAAGGTATATATACAAAAGAATTTAAAGCAAAAATGCAAACAGATAGATGTACAACAATGTCCACTGCAGTACTATTCACAATAGTCAAAATGTAAAAACAATGTAAATGTTCAACAGGTGGATGGATAAACAGTGGTGCATACATAACAATGAAATATCACTCTACCATAAAAGGAGATAATGTCCTGGTACATGGATACCATAGATGAACTTTGTTGAGTGAAATAAGTCAGTCACAAAAGGACAAATATTGTATGATCCCATTTATATGAAATCTCTATAATTATATAGAGATTAAAGTCCATTGGTGGTTATCAGGAGTGAGTGGGAGGAAGGAGAAAGGAAGACACTCTGTTTAGAAGATACTCAACTTCTATTAAGAGTGATGGAAAAATTCAGGAACTGTTAGTGGTGATGGGTGAACAGCATGATGAGCATAATTGATGTCACTGAACTGTACACATGAATTTTGTTGAAATGGCAAAGGTTTTTCTATCAGTTTATTAATATAACTTTTTTAAAAGGCCACTTATTGAATCTAAGATATACTACCCAGATGCTTTACAATAAAGACCGGAGAAACAAAGTGAAAAAGATCCGAATAACAATCCTGGAATGCTAAGTTTCAAAAAAAAGGATAACTGATCAGAAAAGGAAAAAGAATAAAAACCATCAACAAGGAGACATACAGAGCAGCAAACTGCCAACTGTGCAGGCAATCACACTGTTGCCAGTGATGAGAGAGATGTGATCTCCCTTCTTACACCACACAACCTTCCTGTGATGAGAGGCATGCCCTCCCACTTCTACCCACCCAACAGCCAGTTAAGCCCTCCTGGAATTTCACCCAGCTGGCTTCCTCCTGCAATGACCACCCCATCCATTGCTCTAGGCCCCCGGCAGACTGGAGTGTGCTCTGGCAGACCAAGAGCTATACATCCACTATCTCAGACATCTGCAGGACAGGCCTTTGTACATCAAGCACCACATGACCACAGCCTCTGAGTCTGGTGGTATACATTCCTGCAAAGTGGGCACAGTACGTTTGCCAACTACCATGGCTGGTAGCACCTGCCCCCACCACCAGTGTGGTAGGAAATGGGCAATCTCATGGAGCCTATGTCCCACTTCCTCTGTCTCCACAGTCAACAGCCCCCACCTCAGCAGCGAGAGGTTTCACACTCCCAAATAGTAGGTGGATGACCTCTACTGCCTCCATGGTCAGCGGTGGGTGCACCCATGAAGCAAACCTACCGCAGCCAGGTTTGGCAACTAGCATTTATTCAAGTGCTTTACTATTTCTTTTTTCTTATTTTGTCCTTCTTTCAACCTGTTTTTCTTGGTATCATTTCTTTTTCTTCTCCTCCACCCCCACCTTTCTTTCTTCCTTTCTCCTTCCATCCCCTCCCTTTTTTTCACCATTAATTGGGAGCCAGTGAACCTAATCAGTCATACCTGCCACACCTCCTACCCCAGCCACTGGACAAGGACCACCATCTACTCCAGCACTGCAACATTGACAGTGGATGTTAGCTAACACCTGTCTAGCCTGGCCTCAGCTGTTCTACATGAGCAGCAATCAGAGGCTAATGCCCACACATCCACCTACTACCTAGTAGGTACAAGTGCTACTACCCAGGCACAAGTGCTAAGTATCCCAGTGCTGTTAAATTAGCAACCAGAATAATATGCCTGCCAAGTTGCCCAGATACATTAAATAAAACAAAAAATTCAGGGTAATGCAAACCAACATGTAATCAACAAGTAAATACAATCTCACTACAATGTCCTCGAGAAACCAGATAACTTCAAATCACATAAAAATCAGGACAGATGGCTCAAGCAAATGAACAAAATACTGGACCAGAAAATCTTGAAGGAAGAAATGGTATAGGACTATGTGGTAAGACATTCAAGATGACTATGTTAAAGACCCTTCAACACAATAAGAAAGATCAAGGAAAACAAAGACAACTCCAAGGAAGTCATAGACAAAATTAAGGGAAACATGGATAATACTCTAGAATAATTTAGGAAAGCAATGGAAAAGCAAATTGACAAAATAAATAGTAAACTGGAAACCACACAAAAACAGTAAATAGAAATCCAGAAGATTAATAATAGATTTTAAGAATCAGATAATGCATTGGAAAGAAAAAGGAATAGAATTGAATCAGTGGAACACAGAATTAGTGAAACTGATGAAAATTTCTTAATACTAATAGGCCAAGATGGCCAAATTTTGTCTCTCATACTTTGGACACATTGTCAGGAGGGAAGAGTCGCTGGAGAAGGATATCATGTTTGGTAAGGTGAAGGGTCAGAGAAGAAGAGGAAGACCTCCAATGAAATGGATTAGCCAAGTGGCAGCATTGATGGACTCAAGCGTGGCAACAGTAGTGAGGCTGGCCCAGGATCCGGCAGTGTTTTGTTCTGCTCTGCATAAGGTCACTATGAGTCAGTGCCCACTCGATGGCACCTAACAACAACAGTCCATTAGAAGAACAATCAGAAAAAAAGAATGAAGAAAGACCAAGAGTTATGTGGGGCCTATCAGGAGAAAAAACTTACTTGTGACTGGAAATTCAGAATGGGAAGAGACCAAAAAGAAAAGCAAAGAGAAAATTATCAAAGATTTATTGGGAAAAAACTTCCCTAATATTGTGAAAGATGTATTCAAGATGCTCAATGAATCCCAAATAGGATAGAACCCCAAAAGAAAATAACCAAGACATATCATAATCACACTTTCAAAACTAAAGAAAAGAAAGAATCCTGAAAGCAGCTCAGGAAAAGAGGAAGTTACTTACCAAGGAGAATCAGTGCCAGCAGAAATCATCAGACAAGAAGGCAGACACATAGAAAATCATGAAATCATTGTTCCCGAGGACTGTATACCCAGCAAAACTGTCCCTCAAATACAATAGTGAAGGTAAGACATTTCCAGATAAATCGAATTTAAAGTAATTTGTAAAAAGAAACCACCTTTGCAAGATATGTTAAAGGAAGTCTTTCAGACAGAGAACCAACAACAGTAGACAACAAGCTGAGATACAGTCACACAACATCACCTGGAAATTAACCCAGCCAGATATGGAAGTATAGAAAGTACAACAAGCCTACAAGACTGAAAATAGGGAACCAGAGATACCAATGGGTAAATAATGACAACTACAAAGCAGAAAGAGGGAATAAATGGTGTACTAACAGAACTTCCAAATGAAGATGAAGTCAAGACAATATGAAGACAGAATGGACTATCTTAAACTCAAAATGATAATAATAAGTTATAAGATTACCTCAAAGAACATTAATACGCCTTCTCAACAAAATAAAAAATGAAATCGTAATGATTCAGTAAACACTTAAAAAAAAAAAAAAAAAAGCAACAAAGAAAATGATAAGAAAATCCAAAAGCAAAACTAACTTAGCACACAAAAGTATATGAAACACCATTTCAAACTATAGGGAGCTGAATTACATATACAGAAAACCTCAGTAAAGAGAAGTTGTTGTAAACAGTAGTGGGAAGATAAAGGTCATAACTATTTCTGCAGTTAAATAGGAA